TCATTGATACTGATACACACAGGACACACCTCCTTCACTGATACTGATACACACAGGACACACCTCCTTCACTGATACTGATACACACAGGACACACCTCCTTCACTGATACTGATACACACAGGCCACACCTCCTTCACTGATACTGATACAAACAGCCCATGTGTATACATAAGTTCATAATAGTCCATTAGTCTTTGTGTGTGTGTTTGTGATGTGTGTTATTTGTGTGTGGGACAGGGCCTTGTTTGTTTGCTTCCCCCTAATCTCTCTCTATGCATCTGTCCCAGGCTGCAGATCAAATTAAGAAGCTGTACGATCTCTTCCTGAAAGTTGATGCCACTCAGGTGGAAGTGAACCCACTCGGCGAGACTCCCGAAGGACAAGGTGGGATGCTTTAACATTCTGAAACGTGTGTGTGTGTGTGTGTGTGTGTGTGTATTAATTTATGGGGAGAAAGCAACTGTCTGCATTCACCACTCGTTGTGGTTGTGAAAGAGAGACTGTGTTTTAGACAGGGGAAGGATGCAGTTGCAAGGCGTGTATCCACAGGGGTCCAGAACATTTTGAGGAACTAAAGAATTCCTGAAATATCCAGGAGGCGAGTTCCTGGTTTGCATTTCGATCGTTGCGTTTAGTCATCTTTTTTTTCAGTAGCAAGAATATTTTTGTTGTTTTTGCGACAGCTTCCAATAATGGCACTAAGACTGATTCAACCTGAGATCTTTTTTGTTTGGCCTGTTAAGTCAGTAAATTGTCAACTAGCAGTGAATCAAACGAATGAACTAAACTTGAAAGCAATGATCTTGAACTTGGTCCAGACTTGAAGACATTTCTCCATTCCTCTGCACTTCAATGACCGTTAAGGAATTTCTTGATTCAGCAGAAGTAATGAAGAATCTCTGCTTAGTGGAGCAGCATTTTTAAGATTAAACTACAAGCTCAGTTACAGGTTGTGTACAGGGCTCAATAGAGAGAGGAAAAAAAAAATAAGCGTTCAGCCATTTCAAATATCAACTGGTTACACCTGCTACAACCTTAGGAGAACTTTGCTTGCACAGCTGAAGAAGGACTTTTGTTCAAAATGTCCTGTTTTTCTGGAGACTCTGTGTATTACACTCAACTTTTACATTACTGGAGTGCACTGCAGTTACTTCCTCGAAGAATGAAATAGATGACAGTGAGGAAAAGCTGGAAATGCAGAAAATGCTGAAATTATGAATGATCAAAAAAGGGACTTATATAAAGCAGGACGAGCTCACGGTGGGAGATGCAGATGAGGGCGAGTAAAAGATTGGAAGAGAGAAAGATGGCGAAATGAGGAGTTGCAGAGATGAAAAAGAGGAGAAAGTATCGAGTTTAGTAGAACCGGAGAGGTGGAGTGAATGGCGATGAAATGAGAACTCTAAGCATGACTCTGATTATAGCTGCTTTCTCCATCATTCTGTTCCTCATCCCCTCATGGCATGAGTGAGAGCACATCTCAGAAAGTAGGAGTCTGGTTTGGCTCAATGAGAGACGGAGCATTAGTATTCGGCTTTCCGGATGAGCTCGGGGACTGCTGTACTTCAAACTCTATCCTCAGAACTGCATTACTGCCTCAAAATGCATGAATGATCACACTGAGCTGCACAGCAGCCGTTAAACCACATGGCCATCGCTGATGGCATCTCCAGGGGTTGTGATTTAGTGCGAGAAAATTGATCACGGGATGGGATGGGAAAATGAGAGGCATCACAGCCTGGTTTCCTGATTCACTGCCATTTTAATGAGGCCTTGGAAAGGCTAATTATGGATATGTGGAATATTTAGGGATAATTAGTAATACTATCTTTTGTTTGCATCCTATGGAATGTGCAAGAGAGAAAATGCTCATTATTTTTTAGCTGCTTTGGTATGAGGGAGGGTTCCTCACCACTCAGATCTAGTTTGCTTTGAGTAGTGGTTAGTAGTGCTTGACAAATTCGACCATGTTGTTTATGAACCTTTATTCACATGGATATTTTTTCCATTTAATTTTTCTACTCCCTTTTGATGGAAATAAATAATACGTAATACTGTATAAGGGAGTGTTATTGGCTGTGTGTCATTTCTTACCACCTGCATGACAGTAAAAAATGTCCTGAAATCCAGATGAAATCACATGTAGTGCAGATAGAACCTTGAATGATCGCACCAATTAGAAAGAAGAGAAAGCCCAATCTCTTGAATTTTATTGCCACTTGTTTTTTACTGTCTATAAATCACAGCTGCCTTAAAATCAAAAAAAGAAGAAGCAGAAGCAAAAAAGTTTTGTTTTTTTTTCCTTCGGCTGCTCCCATTAGGGGTCACCATGGAGGATCATTGATCCACGTATTTGATTTGGCATAGTTTTTACGCCAAGTGTCCTCCCTGTTTCAACCCTCCCCCAATTTTAAATGGGCTTGAGACTGGCACTGGGAGTGCACTGTCTTGTGCAGCCCCCAGTGGCTGGGGTCAGTTTCCTGGCCGGGAATCGAACCCGGGCCGCGGCGGTGAGAGCGCTGAGGTCCAGCCGCTAGTCTTCCAGGGACGAAGCCGAGAAGTTATTAACAGTGCGTTATCTGCGGAACGTGATTTGATAGTCACATTGTTGCCAAGTTGTATAGATGCAACCGAACTCATTTAAAGGTCCTGCTGGTACACTGTTACCCCCGGCAATGGATGTTTGGTGTCGTCTGTCAGAACAGAAACTAAATGTCACGCTCATGCCTTTTCACAGTTGTGTGCTTCGATGCCAAAATCAACTTTGATGACAACGCCGAGTTTCGGCAGAAAGACGTCTTCGCCATGGACAACACAGCCGAGAGCGACCCCACGGAGACCGAGGCAGCCAAATATGACCTCAAATACATCGGCCTGGACGGCAACATCGCTTGCTTTGGTGAGTGTTTTTTTTTTTTTAATTTTTTTTTATTTTATGGAAAAAGAAAATGGGCAGATGTGAGAGCTTTGGTGGAAAAAGCACCTTCAGCTTGTGAAACTTAAATATTTGATTTTTCGTCATATGTTTAGCAGCATAAGGGACACATAGATTTGATTTTGAAATGGCTTGGACTTGAGGCTTGGACTTGAGGCTTGGACTTACCTTGATTCTAAAAGAATGGCTAAACATTTGTTAGGCATCCTTCACTGAGATTTCACGTTTCTTAATTCTTAAGACATTATAATAGCATTTATTTACACGGATGTTTGCTTTTATTTGAAGAGGCTTACAATTGGGATAATCCAAGCACACAGCTGAGAAGCCCTAGGTTAAGCATCTTGGTCAGGTGGTCAAAGGACAGTGGTTCTTTTGGGACTCAAACTCATAACCTTCCAACCTTTACTATAATGTAGAACATTACTGGATAAGCTCCAACCCCAAACTTAAAACTCTTTGGACTGTCGAACTGTGCAAGTGCCTCCAAATCTTGCAATTTAAACCAAATTACTGTGGGCCAAATTCTGAGTATTAGTCATTGCTAGTTATTAATAATTCATTTACAGTTAACCAAACGGATGCAATTCAAGCATAAAGCAGTGCACTTGAGTGTTGAGAACCTTTTCCAATCACTATCTCAGAACAGAAACTTCATAAGTACCAATGGTTGTGTGGGTTTGGTATTAATTTGGCATGAAGGACACAGTTTATTGAATAGTATTGTGACGTACTTCACAATACCTGTCCACTGGGTGAAAGGAAGGAAGCCTCCTTAAGACAAGCCAGCATAGCTTTTTTCATCCATTTGAAAGCAGGACACATTTAGGGGTGTTATCACCAGTTTCAAAGAGCCTCGTCGTGGTCGGTTTTATTTAGATCTGGTCTTAAAAATGTAACTTTATTAACGATGGACCCTGCCAGAAGCAGTGACTTCCAATTAGAGAGAAAGGCCTCGAAAAGTGCCTCGAACAAGGCAGATTGGCTGAGATATTGTTGTAGTTGTCATTAAAACAGCTTCTCAGTAGACATTAAAGACATAAAAAGGTTTTTTTTTTTTAAAGTGTTGAACAAAAGAGATGCCAGAAAGCATGAGAAACTCAACCATATGCACACATCCATATCTCCCTCCCTCTCTCTCTCTCTCTCTCTCTCTCTCTCTCACTCTCTCTCTATCTCTCACACTCACACACACACACATATCACTACACATAGAGGTGGCAGTTTGTGTGTAAGTTTTGAGAGGACATTTTTCTTTTTTTTTCTTTTATTTCAAGGCTGGTTTTGGAGTTCTTGCCAAGCTTCAGCCTTTCGTCTGAGAGGCAGGAATTAGCCGCAGGAAAACACTTGAGCGTTTGGCTCTGTTACAGCGTGGACTAATTAGGCAGGCTCAATGGCCCAGCTAACGCTGCAACTGCTACTGTCGCTGGTGTCCAGTACTCGTTTAATCTAATTCACTTATCCATCTGTTTGCCAGAATGATGGAGAATTAGACTTGTGTTCTGTGCAGTTAGTGCTTGGTAGAGTAATTGTTTACTGTGTTGTATGGACTATAGGTTTGCGTTTTGCTCTGTACCTGTTGCTGTGAATGATACAGTTTCGTATTAGTGTAACTATGATATGCCTAGTAGTGTTAGTGTGTTTATTGTAGGTGTGCTATTCCAGCTGTTACAGTAGTTCTTCTATTTGAGTTTTTATTTGACTTTCCTCTTTAGGTTTCCTGTTTGAGGTTTTTTTTTTTAGTTTCTTGTTTGTGTTTCTTATTTGGCCTTCCTATTTGAGTTTCCTATTTGAGTTTTCATTTGAGTCTCATTTTTTTGAGTTTCCTATTTGGGTTTATTTCCTATTTAAATACGTACGCTACTCCGGGAAGTACAGTAGTGTGCCAGTTTAATATTTTCAATAGGCATGCTACATTAGTCCAGCTGTTACATGCAGGTTCACTGACAACAAAAACTATTAATATATACTCAATTGAAAAGGGTTTAAACATCAAACACTGCTATATAGTGACTTCACTAGGATAGACTTACAGATATGACACAAGGATTAAGATAATTGCTAAACTATGTAATAAGAGGAGTCTCTAGAGGCAATACCAACATTATGTAAAATAAAAAAACGTGTATATTTCATTACAGGATTTAATGAGGCTTGTCTGAATTCCTGAAATGTGCATACTTGCTGCATTACCATTTATTGCAAACACTCGGAGTTACGATACCACTTGCCTTGACTAAAGCACATCAGCACGTTAGATTTTACTGGCTAAAACTTTGACTTTTTGCACTCTAGTGCATCTGTGTTGTTGTTTGTGTGCGGGGCTGTTTTTGTGCTCCTTCACCCTGTGCTTTGACATTTACAGCTCATTTTTTGGCTACACGCAGTGCAGTCCAGTACCACAACCTCATGTGCCCTGCCTGCGTTTTATAAATTCGCTAGTATGAAAATATTTATGGATATTAGATAAAACATTCTTCCTCTCATTTTCTAACTGACTGTTTCTAGACCTGTAGAACACACTAGAGCAACTCCACAACCGATTATCATAATTAAGATCATTAATTGTGCCGTTACAGTCAATGGTGCTGGCCTTGCCATGGCGACATGTGACATCATCGATCTGCATGGCGGGAAACCGGCAAACTTCCTGGACCTGGGAGGAGGAGTGAAGGAGAACCAGGTGTATGCAGCTTTCAAGCTGCTCACTGCTGATCCGAAGGTAAGAGAACCTCCTCTGTTATAATGATAGCTATTTTATCCCAAAAGTGTTCAGTGGGGTTGAGGTCAGGGCTCTGTGCGGGACACTCGAGTTCTTCCACTCCAGCCTGGACAAACCATGTCTTCATAGACCTTACTTTGTGCACAGGGACCTTGTCATTCTTCAGCAGGTTTGGGCCTCTTAGTTTCAGTGAAGAGACATTACAAAGCATACAAAGGCATTCTAGACAATTGTTTGGGGAAGAACCACATACGGGTGTGATGGTCGGGTGTACACATGCTTGTGGCCGTACAGTGTATCATGGAAGTTATTACAGGGTGATGGAGTAACTGGAAACGTTTAGCTATAAAAACCTGTGTTCCTAGCTAGATACTAATGCAAATGTTGCCCAAAGTGAAGTACAGTAGAGTTGTTCAGTAGCTATAAGTAATATTAGCAACAGTTAAAAGAACAGTTTGTTAAAAGATTTGTCGAATGATTCATAAAATGATTCAATAAACAATTCATTAAAAGACTAGTTAAAACATAGGTTCGTTTTTATAGTCTAGAGATACATTTAGGGACACATCACGATAACGTCTGTTTGAGAGTGATGAGAGATTCCAGCTTGATTTGTTGAAAAATTCGTTAAATGAGTCATTAAATGATCCATTGAATGATTCATTAAACGAATCATTTTAAAACCTAGGTTATTTTATAATAGTCTAGAATTACATTTAGCGGCATGTATCTTCATAACGTTGATTTGAGAGTGACTGAGGGATTTCAGCATGTCCATCTTTGCTGCTACTCTTCATCACAGCCATCGATCAGGTTTGTCCTGTTATTTTCACAGACTCTCTACCAACACACGCTCATTCATTGAAACTAATCTATCCTCCGTTATTCTTCATCGCTCAAAACCGAGCGTCTGAAAAGCGAGCCGCCGTTCACAGCAAGCCAGAGGGTGCCAACCTTGCGCCGATAACCTGCGCCGAGCCGCCTGATGCCGTACGCCAGCGCTAATCATTTGTTTACTTTCACCTTAATCTCACATGTGGTTGCACCACGCATTTATTTTGCTCAGGATCGGAGTGTACATCGATATCTTCATCCCGGCTTACAGAGACGCGCATGGCTGTATCTATCCCTTCCTGTGTTTCCTCTCCCAAGCACGAGCGGCAGGGTTTAATACGTGACTGCTGTCCTGAGAGCGATGAATTTTAAACAGGCTCTCACTGGCTGATGTATTATTCTGCTCAGCTCTCTAAGGTGTATTTATTATTTTTTGTCATGCATAAATCCATCACAGCACACTGGAAAACAACAAAAAAAAAAATCTGGTAAAGGAAAAGACAGGAAGTGGAGTTTCTTACATCCTGTCCAGAGGATCAGTCTCATCTGTTATTTTCTCAGACAGGCCAAACCTAAAGATGAATGTTGTGTATGTTTAAGCAGTTTTTAATGATTTATAGTACACCGCTGTTTGGATGCAGAATGAGGAAGAGTTTGATGTTGGCCTCTTTTTTTTTTTTTTTTTTTTTTTTTTTTTTTTTTTTTTTTTTTTTTTTTTTTTTTTTTTTTTTTTTTTTTTTTTTTTTTTTTTTTTTTTTTTTTTTTTTTTTTTTTTTTTTTTCTTTTTCTTTTTTTTTCTCCCTTGGTCTAGCCTCTCATTTTTATTTCTCTGTCTTTATCTTTGTGCTTCTCAGTTTAGGGATTTGCATTTCACAGGAGCATTCTGTGCCACCTCACCCATGTGCTGGGAATTTTAATCAGAATGTTAATTATTCTGCCTCTGTCAGGATAAAATCTGCATTTGCATTCCTCCAAACTCTGTGGAACCTTCGTTTTTGCCCTCAAATATTTCGGACCCCTCATCAGTCTCAGCAAGCTCGGCCCAGTGATCTACATT